AGAGCATCTTCAAGGGGTTAAACTGTCTGTGAATGTGTATATGTACTTCTGTAAAATTCAAAACATTCTTAACTGCTTGGTTTCCTGTGTTATGCAACCTTCTAGATTTCAAATTTAAAAATTCACATTGTAAGGGAGGTAACCTTTTGTTATTTATTTATTTATTATATTATTATTCATATATATATATATATATATATATATATATATATATATATATATATATATATATATATAATTGAAGCTAAAAATTAAATAAAGTCATCTATGAGTATAGCAACAAAGTCATTAAATGATTGTAGCAGCAAACAAATTTGAACTTTGTTGCTATACCCATAAATGACTTTATCTAATTTTAACTTTAATTCTCTTATATAAATGTCTTTTAAGATTTTTAGTTTTTGCTTACTATTATTTTTATGTAATATAGATCCATTTTTAACTAATATCCGTATAAACTGTGAGTGTTTGTATGAGTGTTCTTTAAATGCTGTGAGATTGAACTATGCTCATCTAAATAGGAATGTAAGGAATTTTGTTAGCATCATCGTAGTAAAACCAACATACGTATTAACATTTTTATCAGAGATGCAATCTGCCAGAGGACGTTTAGACTGAAATCGGATCATTATTAACTGATTACATGAAGTTGTTATTGTATAACATTAGGTACCTCTAAGAAAACAATAAAAATCAGCATACCGTGATGAAAACACGCGCCAAATGTAATGAAAACAGTTTTATCGTCAAAATCCTTATGTCATTATTAGGAGAAAGGATCAAAGTATTTTTTGATAGTTTAAGTAATTTTTTTTACTCCTTTATAAACCTTCATAATTCGGATTAAAAACTGGTTTTTCTTGCGTCAGCGTTTGTACTAAATTATGACAGTAAATTTTCGCCTCTTTTTGTTGCGGTGACAAACATATTAATTTGAAATTTTTTGCAAAAATCAAATAATCATCGGATTTTAATTAAATTTTCAGAACTTATTCACAAATAAATTAAATTATTTTTGAAAATCTTGGTAAAAATATTTTTTTACATGTGTTTCAGCACCTTACATAATTTTATGAAAACGTGAAAATTCTTTTGATCAGTTTTAATGACTATATTAGTTAAAAGCAGAAATTCTTTGAAGAATTTAAAGCAACGAATCTTTTTTTGAAAAATCCGACCCGTCTTACCGAAAATCAGTTTGGATCGAAAAAAATAAAAAAATAAAACGGAATAAATCTAATTCATTTTTAATTAGAGAAGATTTTAATTATTTGTATGAATAATATACATTCCAACGGATCACAGTGACATCTTTTGTATCTATGGTGATAGGCAAAGTTTTCAATTTGACTGAATGAACGTAAAAGTGAGCAGTATGAAGTTTGGAACGAAACTGTCCAAATGAAACTTCCATCTTACTAATGATATATAAAGTGAATAAGGATAATTTGTCCTAGTGTACATGGCATGCGTATCTATGATGTGAAGGTCTGAACTAGTGGAATTAATGAATGTAGCTCGTTTGAACATTTGCCATGGAAATATAGATATAGAAGAGAAAGACTTGCATAGTTTGACTTGAAGCAAATGAAAAATACTTAACGATCCAACTAAGAGTTACAAAAAGTAATTGTTTTCAGTAGTAATCAACCTGATGTCCGCTTGGAGTCGACATAGAAACGTTAGTCTGACAATACCAAGTCACCATGACTGAAAAATGGCAGTTTTTCTACTTGACACGAGTACTACCCTTACTTGTTTATAGCAAGCCAGCAACGAAACATCAAACAACCCACTAACGCCAGCAGCACTGGAAAAATTTAAAATGTTTACTGTACATGGTATGCCGATGACAAAATATCAAACGACACACTAGCAACTACCGCAGCAGCCTTGATTAAACTGTGAGTTGAGATATTATCAACATTTCTGACATATTTTCATTTCCACGAACTCTAAAAAAACAAAAACAAAACATTTCCTTTGTTATAAAATAGGAAGTTTTATTCTTCAAACATATAAATAAAAATCAATTTATACCGAGACAAAAACAAAAGCTATGTTGTAAAAATAATGTAAATAAATTGAACTATTGAATATATCAGTTCCTTCGTCAAAGATTATTTTGTTTTCTCAACTTTGACAAATCAGCAAACCTACTTTCAAACATCTACCTCTTATATATATATATATATATATATATATATATATATATATATATATATATATAGTTTTATCAGGTGCAATAGATATTAGATTTTAGCGGTCGAAGTAAATCGATCATTGTATTTAAAATTAGTGGCAAGATTTAACCCGTAGCTGGAAGAGAGAAGAGAAAAGATGGATTTCTGTCTTTCAAAAGGCACCAGTGTAAAAGTATTGTAACCTCGGGAATGTTACTGAATAGAATAATCACACAATGGTTGGTAATAAGCGGTAATACTTAGGACAAGAACAACACATATAAGATTCGCCAGCGGTGCGTAGAAGTAGTCAACTGATAGAAGTGTGTCAAGTGAATTCCACAATGAATCTCCAACTGTAGGATATCTACCAACCGCCCCACGCGGTCAGATGTGGCACAAGGCCAAATTTAATCTGAGGTATCCGAGTCCGTAGTCTCGGTCAAAATTTCCCCGTAGACCTCGTATAAAACGGGGTTGGGTATCTGTTTTCCGAGACGAGACTCTGGCCTTCGACATAGGCTCGACGAAGGCAGAAAGTTTGTCCAGCACAGCCGGAAACGAATCTCCAACTGCAGACCAACATACAGTATTTATTACTGTATTATATGTGAATCGGGACATACCCATTATCGTCCGTAAGTATGGAAAAAAAAGTGAACGCAATAGACTAGGCAGGAATTTAATTCTTATTTTTTTTATTTTAATATTTTTAATCATTGCACCTCAAGCAAGGCGGTAATGCCAGTAGTACGCAGAGGTTACAGGAAGTGAAAGTGAACGAGAAGACTAGAAATAGGGAGGAATGAGGAAACGACAAAAGTTGAGCGAGATTAAGACAATATGGCGCATGACATTGCATTTAAACCTTTTAAGATTATACTTATCAGGGAAGCAAGTAAACGGACGAGAGTTCCATAGGTGGGAAGTGCGAGAAAAGAAACTGCTGGAGTAGAAGTGGTGCTTGCACTTTGCTATTTCAATAGAAAACGAGTGGGATCCAGATTCCAATCTAGTAGCACTCATTCATGCAGTCGAGACCCTAAAGAAGAAGCTCATTAGAACAATTGCCGTGAAAATATTTGTAGAAAAGACAGAAGGAAGCCACGTCACGTCGGTGAGAAAGTGACTGAAGTGACTGGTTAGGAACAAGATGTACATAACAGATCCGTGTTTGGATTTTGTCAAGAATCTCAAGATGTACATTACAGATCCTTCTTTGGATTTTGTCAAGAATCTCAAGATGTACATTACTGATCCTTCTTTGGATTTTATCAAGAGTCTCAAGATGTACATTACAGATCCTTCTTTGGATTTTGTCAAGAATCTCAAGATGTACATTACAGATCCTTCTTTGGATTTTATCAAGAGTCTCAAGATGTACATTACAGATCCTTCTTTGGATTTTGTCAAGAATCTCAAGATGTACATAACAGATACTTCTTTGGATTTTGTCAAGAATCTCAAGATGTACATTACAGATTCTTCTATGTATTTCGCCAAGAGTCTCAAGATGTACATTACAGATCCTTCTTTGGATTTTGTCAAAAATCTCAAGATGTACATTACAGATCCTTCTATGTATTTTGTCAAGAATCTCAAGATGTACATTACAGATCCTTCTTTGGATTTTGTCAAGAGTCTCAAGATGTACAGCTGGAGCACCAGGTTAGATATGACACCAGTATTATTTTTAAAATTTTAATGCCATGTCCATTGAAGGCACAAACCCTCTTTTTAATATCTATCAAATGTCACGACTTCTTTGGAAAGATAGTAGAGTAGTATCAACAAGACAAGGTCACAGTGGTGACGGCGAGGGAGGCTTGGTGTAGGTAGTTAAAGCGTTAAGAGATGGTGTCTGTGAGTGGCAATCATAGCGGTGACAGATGGTCCGCAACTGTGTTGCTAGTTACGAGGGGCTTTCTTTTAAGCAAATCTAGTAGTCCCCAGGCTCATGTTTTTTTTTCGGCAGGAAAGTTCGTGATTGGCGATTGTATTAATTTTATTGTGGGGATTTGTTTTGTGGACCGGATGTAATGCTCAGAGCCCCTGCGCAGAAAGCGACTTTTTATTTTGTGTTTTGCGTATAATACTGCCATCACTAGAACATCAATGGGAGTGTGGGGTGTAAAGAAATATGGCAGGTAAAATTTAAGGGCTTGATACTGAGAAGCAAGAATTAGGAAAGCCAAAAGTGTGCATGTGTGTGTGTGTGTGTGTGTGTGTGTGTGTGTGTGTGTGAGAGAGAGAGAGAGAGAGAGAGAAAGAAAGAGTGAACAGGTGGAAGGAGGTGGTATGTGTGTTATATATCTCTCTGTGTAGTAGCAGTCGTAGCACAGTTCTCCGCATTACGTTTAGCAAACGGGTTTGCTAAGCAATGCCCTTATGTTCAACAGTTGTTCTCTATTTATGCTTGACTATCTCATTTGCATACGATACTACCGGTGGGAATATTGAAGAGGAAAGAGAAATAGATAAAAAAGAGAGAGAAATATACTAGTATGAAGTGATAGAGAGAAAAAATAGGACAAAGACTAAAGAGAAATAGGAAAAGCGACAAAAAGAAAAATAAGCAAGTGAAGAGGGGGGAGTTCCAGCAAAATTCAAATTAATACTCGTTCCCCATCCATCTGTCCAAAAAAGAAATTTTACAATCAATTCACAATTGTGATCATTTCCCGGTTAGCATATTTCCTTTTTCATATGGACTGAATCAGTTAAGAAATCTGTAAAATGGATCGGCCGAAACGTTGTCATGATAACGAAACTAATTCATCTTCAGTTAAGCTTTACACTAATCAGTACTTGACATCTATGACTGTTAGCTTAATGAGGGAAGTGGTCAAATCAGATAGGTAAGCAGATTTTGTTGCGCCCTTTTTTTTCAATCAGAAAGCCAAACCTGTTTTGAAATCCCGTCTTTTAATTTAGGTTCGAACATCGAACTCCATTAAGAAACACAAACGTGCCTTAACCATAAAGAAACTCACACTCTTTCAGTGTGAGAGATCCAAAAAAGATAGAACATTTTTTAGCTGCTTCGCTCGGCACAAAACTTCATAAATTTCGTTACTTTATTATCCCTGAATTGTCATGCAATTTTATTAAAATCCTTTGTCAATTTCATGGTTTTGAACAAAGAGTTTATGGAATTTTAGGATGCGTCTTGTTATATTGTATATTAAAGAAAGTGGATTTTGGAACCCTGTAAGTTTTAAGGAAACAAAAAACAACAAAAAAACAAAAAAAAAACAAAAAACAAAAAAAAACAAAAAACAAAAAAACAAAACAAACAAACAAACAAAAAACCCACTTATACTTAAGAAAGATGCAAATGAAATTTCTGGTTCACATAATAAGGAAAGATGATAGGAGAATTTGACACTCACAAGACATAGAGGTGCAGAGAGCAACATCGAGTAACCTGGATAAAGTGGTTGAATAAAAACATAGATTTGAAGGGAGAGTAAAGGACCATGCATTGATTAATCCTATAAAGGATAAGAAGTTGTGGAGAGCCATGATCGCCTACGTTCTGAAGGGATACATCATATAAAAGAAATGTCCAAAGGAAATTAAATAACACAGCAGATAGAAAAAAATAAGTCAACACTTAGCAGTAAATAACCAGATAGAAGATTATGCAAGGGAGATCACTCTAGAATCCCAAGTTATTTCCCTTTAATATAGTTTCAACTTGTAACGCTAAAATAATGCATAATTGTAGTTTACAATTACTCTATTTTCAGGGAATCCATTAATTAACAGTTTGATAGTAAGGATCGTTTGTCAAGTAGCTGACTTCAGTGGAGATGATCTATGCATTTAGCACTGTTGGGATGTGTCCGAAAACTATAACACAGTGTAGGGGAGTTATAAATCTGAGTAAATAATAATAAACCCCCTTCCATTTATATTCTATTTATATATACAAAAATACACGTTAAAATGAGAAACAGCAAGATGTGGAAACAAGAAAACGGGTATTATTTATTATCTGGATGTTATGTGGGGCTGGAGACACGAGAAACCGTTTGAGTTTGGGGACAAATGTCGATCAAATATAGATCGGAATCTCATTCTGTTCGTATATATCACCTTTTACCGTCGCCTATACCCGGTGGAGTAATCTGAATCACGTTTAGTGGTCCGGTCCTCAGGGTCTTAGGACGACGTTTTAACCACGGGGCTTACTCTGGTTGGTCAATGCAGACGCTGATCCAAGCAGGTTGTTGGTCACTAGCCGCTTCGATCCACACCAACTCTACCCACTTTTTTTTTTTTTTTAATCTCAAAGCAGTGGAAGATCGAATCTCGTAATAATCGCAGCGCTGGTTCAAGTCGTGGCGTGTGTTATATTAAGGAAGAAATATTTTCCAACGAAAAAATAAAACGAAAGATTCATGGTGTTAAATCTTCACTTGGTTTATATAGTCTTGGTACAACAAAAATAACTCTTCTTCCCGCATCAATCTATAGTGACACTGTGCAAAGCCAAATAATTTGGTTCTAAAGTTCTTTTGAATCAGGAAATCTGGTGGCAGCTGACGTGGATTCCAGTAAAAAAAAAAACCAAAAAAAAAAAAACCAAAAAAAAAAAAAAAAAAAAAGAACAACAAAATAAAAAAAAAAAAACAATAAAACGAGTCGTCTATTCCAAACACTGGTATCCACTAAGTTTGAAGTAACAAAATATCGGATTAAAAATAAATCCATCAATTAAATAGAAAATGCTTTGTTTACATTTCAGCAACCCAATTGAGCAGGTGTGAACTTTCGAGAATATCTGGACGAGGAAGTATGCATTCTTCAAAAAAGGGAAATTATTTTCTCTTAATGTATGCCGGATCAAACGGAAGGAGGAAGCAGGTTCAAACCCTGCATTTTCTTTATTATAGGGACCTCCACAGAAACGCGATACCTAAGGTTTAAAATGATTTTTTTTTTAAATGAAAAATCTTTCTTGAAACTTTTATTTTAGTTTTAATTTCAAGCTAATAGATTAAATTTAATGTTTCCAATAACCAAAATACTTTGCTGCATTACAAAACTAATTTAAATTGATATAAAAAAAAACACAATTTTTTAGCAAGATTTTCTAAAAAAAAGAAACATTTCTAAAATAATTTCATTCATTAGTGAATAAGACCAGAAAGTTTAATTAAAATCCAACAATTGTCTGATTTTTTCAAGAATTTCCAAATCAATGTGTTTTTCACCGCAAATGACTCTAAAATTTCCTATACTAATCTTTGTTCGCTTCCGTTGATGCAAGAACAACAAAAATTTTAACCAAAATTTCGAACATTCTGAAAAGCATCAAAAATATAATTTAAACAAAAAGTCTTTTAGTCTACTCTTTTAATAATAACATAAAGATTTTGACGAAAAATGCTTTTTCATCATGGTATGTTCATTTTTTAGTGAATCAGTAGAAGTGCCCATGTTAAAATGTTTTCAGGAGTGCGCAGGCCGATAAAAGTAATATTCACTGTTTAAAAACAAAACAAAAAAAATGAGGCGTCTATTTCCAACTCGGGTATCCACTAAAACTAACTTTTGAAGTAATAAAATATCTATCTATCTATCTATCTATCTATCTATCTATATATCTATCTATCTATCTATCTATATTCATATCTGTGTATTCTAGCCTGTTTTATATTTTTATGCTTCATATTTTTAAGTAGATAGAACTAATAAAATATTATGCGATGGAATGGTTACTTAAAAAGGTTTTCTATGATTTTAAAGTACGATTGCCATTTATTTTTGATCAAACGGATTTTATGTTGCAAATAAGACGATAAATCATTCCCCCAAAATTTTATAGCAACTCGTATCTTGTTTATTTTTTGTGAGAAGTTTTAAATACCTTTGAAGCATCAAAGAGCAATTTTCCCTTATTTTGGAAGTATTTGAATTGTGTTCGAATTAGCGTAGGACTGACGGGAAAGGAAAAAGTTAAGTCCCTCTTGAAAATTCCATTTCTATGTATTTTTTGACGTACTGATGATTAAAGAAGACGAGTGAATTTATCTTATTCAAAATCTCTCTCTCTCTCTTCCTCAACCCCTTTCTCTCTCTCAATCCTTCTCTCTCTCACACACACACACTCTCTTTCATACTTTTTCATCTTTTTCTTTATTTACTGTATTCTCTCTCCCTAAATCACTTTCACCCTCTTTCATTAAACATTTGCCACTCTCTATCATAAGCACTTTTCCGATTTCTGGCACAGGAGTTCGCTTTTCGCCGGAAGTGAAATAAACTGTTTTCTCCATTTTAGATGAGAGAAGGCGCCCGGTCTCGGGGATTTCATCCCTGTAGCAGCACCTTCCTCATTGCACTTGCAAGAGGTGGGGTCGTTGTAATATCGACGCCAGCATGACGGTGGTCGTTTTGACTGGCCAATTTTTTTTTCTTTGTCCATATGCATATGTATATGCATTGCTGCCTCACTTTAAAATAAAAATCGACCTTTTGTCACATCCCGCCTTAGTTTGGAGACCGGGTGACATATACATATACATTGCTTCGAGCTTTTTTCTCTCTTTCAATACAAACAACACAACAACGTTTGTGAGCCGTCAGTTTTTTTAAAACTTTCACCAGTTTTTGAATGTCATTAATAATATGAGTATAAATGTGAAAAACAATTCTTAGGACGCTTCTTATATTCCGTTTCCCCTCATGACGTCGGCGATCATGGCACTCCACAGTTTCCCTGTCCCTTGTAGCTCTTAATAAATTTTGTTCAAGCTCACTAAGTATGTTATGCGTTGTTTTCTGCTTTTCCTTTTTATTTTCATTTTCTCTAAAACTTCGTTGTTGCACACATATCCGTCCATGGTATCCTCAGTATCCTTCTGTAGAACCAGATTTCTGTTGCTTCAAGTTTCCTCTACATCTGTGAGAAGGTTGTCGAGCATTCATTGCCACATGGGAGGATAAATATCATGTAACAGTTCAGTACTCTTTTCCTTATTTCTAACGAAGTTTTTGTGTCTCTTAATAATACTCTGCTTAGCTTTTGGAATGGATCTATAAAAAATCTAACAAAATTAATTTATATTAAATTAAGAAAATTAATTTATATTAAATTAACGAAAGATAACCGAAGGCGTTTGTATATTTAAAATCTCTAATACAAAAAATATTGTTTACTGACCACTTAAACAAAACAATGAAGAAATGCAGATATGGACATAAAAGGGAAATAACTCTACTCTTTTTAATCAGAATTATTTCCCTTATGTCAATTTTTATTATTTGGCTGGTGCATAATTATTAGGCGTTTTTAAACAATATTTATTATGAAAAAAGAAACAACAATTCAGCACTAAATATTTTTAAATTATTATTACGGAGCGTATTATTATCGACACGCATTATTATAACCTGAAAATAAAATAATATTTTTATTATTAAAATAAACAACACAGCAATTTTTGTTAACAAATAACTCGCTACAAATATTTGTTTGAATTTCTGGTATGAGGAGTTATCATTATTTGCAATCTGACTATTGTCTTCATCTTCGTTGTTGCTATCACAGCGTTGAGGCCGTTGAGCTCCCCAGACTTCATCACGTGTATATCAATTCAGGTAACCTACACAGTATCCCGAACTGAACCAGTTATTTAATCTATGGGGGTAACTATTCTCATTCCACTACCCATGCCTCGGGATATGTTATCTAGTTCATATTTTTATTTTTTGCATCTAATTCAATAGTAATACAGTGAGACCTAGTCACCAATCTAGTAGCACGCATAAATTTATGCAGTCGAGGCACCAAGGAGGAAACCCCTTCAGAACTATTTGTAGAAAAGACAGAGGGAAGCCGCGTTACGTCGGTGAGGAAATGGCTGAAGTCGAGATGCCTGGTCAGGATTGATTATATTACAGATCCTTCTTTGGATTTTCTCAAGAATCTGGAAATGTTCAAGATGGATTCGGAAAGGAAGAACTGCCTGGCACGACACAGCGAACATTAGGCGGAGCAATTGATTCAATATAATCTTTCTAATTCATGTCATGAAAAAAGAAGGTGCAAAGTGTTGCTTTCTTGGAGACATGCTGATGTCAGGCGGAATGGAAAATAATTTTTGTTTTGGAGGTGTTAAAATGTACACGTCATGTTATGTGTTTAACCCCTTCCTCGCCAGTTATTTTTGGGTAAAACTTTTCATTTCTAGACGAATTCTTCTTCTTCTTCTTCTTTATATATATATATATATATATATATATATATATATATATATATATATATATATATATATATATATATATATATATATATATATATATATATATATATATATATATATATATATATATATATATATATATATATATATATATATCCTCTGTTTACACGTTATTTTAATAGATACAAATTATTAAAGTAAATGTTCTTTTTTAATTAAACAGTATTGCATTTGCCTGCCTAGGAAATATGCGTTCTCCAACAGGCGTCGAATCTGTGTCCTATACAGAACCGTCTTTTTATCTGACTTGCTATGCCACATTAATTTGGACTTTGCTAACCAGAGGCTTTTCTATAGCTAGAAATTACTTTTGTAATTCGTCTGGGAAGTTACCTGAATTTACCTAAAAAGGAAATAAAATATCCATTCCTGAAGACGGTAATAAGAATTACCGAAAGTACTAGAATATATATGGAACAGACGGAAAATCTAATCCATTTTACAATTTTTAAAAACGCCATTCAACGAGTGGTTAGTAAGTTAATGCTTTATTAAATCTGTTAGCGAAGTGATTTCGCAATTAATTACATTAACTTTACTGATTTATTCTTTGTATGAATATTTCTTTTCATATTTTTTAAGATCTTCAAAGCTGAAAGGAACTACCATATCAATATGAATGCACATTCTGTTTTTGTGGTCTTTGATTATGATGCCTAGCTTTGAATGTTCTGTCCGTGTGTAAAGTTCCATAAAATTGTTACAGGTCCCATCTTTGTAACCAGGCCTGAGTGATATTCATACAAGTTTCTTGCAATTTCCTTCCCGTAAAAATTTAATATTTTCCAGTGTAGCCGAGTTTTATATTCAGTGGGTTTTACATCGTGAAAATCGGAATAAAGTCGAGAATCCCGTCGCTTCAAATTTCTTTATTGCTTTGTAATTGCAAATATTCTATAAAGTGTTCTATCTGTTTGTCGTCGTACGACTCGATGGAGAACAGCCTCGAGACAAGATGTTTGCTTGAAAATGAAAACCGTGCGAAAGAAAATGATAATAATAAAAATAAAAAGATATATATATATAATTGACATAACTCTTTCAATATTTTTCAAGAGAAGAGTACGATTTAAGAAAAGAAAAAGGAAAGAAAAACGCAGTTTTTAACAATATTAAACAATATTTCTCTCTTTTATTTATAAATTATAGTTATATTTAAAAAAAAATCAATTATAAAAATACATAAACCTACAAACATAAGTCTTTGTACAAAGCTTGCTTGTCTACAATTTATAACTGATTGAATACAGTAATTGTGGTGAAAGGCCGAAAAAAGTGGAGAGATGGGTCAAGGCTGGTCGATACTATCTTAAACCTTGCTAAGCAGATTCACAACCCATTCATTCGTTACAATTTACACATTCACCATAAGAATCTATCCGTCACCATTCGCTCCTATATACACCAAAAATATCTCACATACACGGGGCACCGACTTAAAAAAAAACACCCCCGATATAAAAATTAAAAAAAATATATTCAATGAAATAAAATACAAAAAATATGTACAAACGTTGCTTGTCTTATAATGAAAAAAAAAAACAAAAAAACAAAAAAACAAAAAAAAAACGGTTATCATGTTAATGAAGGCATCAAAACGAATTAAACGCCGCCAGCGTGAAGACATGCAACTGAAAAGTGTTTATGATTGTTCATCTTGGGATTTTCCGTTAGTTGATTAGTTACCAAGAAGAATTAATCAAACAGCTTAATATAAACTTTCCTGCCATTCGGTTCATTCCCCCGGGCCGTAATTTGTTAACGTAACCATCTTCGTGTGGTTTAATGGTCGAAAGGTCGAAAAGCCGTTTTTTCCTTACAAGACAAATAACATTTATACAAAGTTTTATAATTTTTTTGTAGATTTATATATTTTTATACTTGAAAAACCTTTTTAAATATCACTTGAAGAAGATAGATATTCTGTTGAAATATTGTTTAACATTGTCAAACACGGTGTTTTTTTCTTTTCTTTATCTTTTCTTAAATTGCACTCAACTATTTTAATAATAATAATAATAATAATAATAATAATAATAATAATTACCTATCAGTGGTTAGGTACTGCAGGGTTAAAAAACGAAGCCGAAGGTTTTATTTTTACTGCACATGACCAATGCCTGCCAACTAAAAATTATGTTAGTTCAAACTGCAGATTCTGTGATAAATATCCAGAAACAGTTGAACATCTTGTATCAGGTTGCACATTGTTCGTACCCACTGAATATAAAACTCGGCATAATAAAGTGGGCCAAGATCTACACTGGAAAATGTTAAATTTTTACGGGATGGAAACTGCAAGAAACTTGTATGAATATCACTCAGGCCTGGTTACAAAGATGGGACCCGTAACAATTTTATGTGACTTTAC